CGATGGGCGAAGACATGGGTTTCTTATTCTGAGCCGAGAAGACTCCACCATGGTGAGGGGTTGGGGCCCAGCAGCCTGGGGCAGGGGTCCCACTGGTGAGGAGTGCACCTCACTGGCTGTGGCCCACAGATCCTGCAGACGGGGCAGGAGATCATGGAGCTGGACACCAGCGGCTTTGCCACACAGGGCCCCACAGTCTTTGCAGGCAACATCGGGGACAATCGCTACATCGTGCAAGTGTCACCACTTGGCATCCGCCTGTTGGAAGGAGGTAGGCCGGGCAGGCGGGTGAGCTGGGGTCTAGCGGTGGTGCACGCTGACCACCCTGTGCTGACTTTCCTGTGCTGACCGTCCTGTGCCCGCAGTGAACCAGCTGCACTTCATCCCCGTGGACCTGGGTTCCCCCATCGTGCAGTGTGCGGTGGCCGACCCGTATGTGGTCATAATGAGTGCTGAGGGCCACGTCACCATGTTCCTGCTCAAGAGCGACTCGTATGGGGGCCGCCACCACCGCTTGGCGCTGCACAAACCCCCACTGCACCACGTAGGCCCCCTTCTCCATCCCTGGGGCTTGGGGCCCATTGTCCCCTCCGCCCCCGCGCCCACTGCTGAGCCCTGCCCCCCTCCCTGCAGCAGTCCAAGGTGATCACGCTCTGCGTGTACCGTGACGTCAGCGGCATGTTCACCACCGAGAGCCGCCTGGGTGGGGCCCGCGATGAGCTGGGGGGCCGCAGTGGCTCCGAGGCAGAGGGCCAGGGCTCAGAGACCAGGTGCGTGGAGGGTCGGGGCACAGGCTGGGGCTGGAGTCCCTGGGGTGGGCTGTGTGTGATGAGTCTGCTGGCCCCCAGCCCTACGGTGGATGATGAGGAGGAGATGCTGTACGGGGACTCGGGCTCCCTCTTCAGCCCCAGCAAGGAGGAGGCACGCAGGAGTAGCCAGCCGCCCGCTGACCGGGACCCCACCCCCTTCCGGGCCGACCCCACCCACTGGTGCCTGCTGGTGCGGGAGAATGGAACCATGGAGGTGGGTGATGCCTTGTGCCCAGCGCAGCCCCCCCCACCCCAACCGCCCCCCACTAACCCCACTCTCCCCGCAGATCTACCAGCTCCCTGACTGGCGGCTGGTGTTCCTGGTGAAGAACTTCCCCGTGGGGCAGCGGGTCCTGGTGGACAGCTCCTTCGGTCAGCCCACCACGCAGGGCGAGGCCCGAAAGGAGGAGGCCACGCGCCAGGGGGAGCTGCCCCTTGTCAAGGAGGTGCTGCTGGTGGCACTGGGGAGCCGCCAGAGCAGGCCCTACCTGCTGGTGAGCGCAGGCCGGTGGTCACCCCCCACACTGACCCTTCCCTGCCCCCCAGTGGCTCCACACTGCCACCATGCCCCTGATGACCCCACACTGTCCCCCAGGTGCACGTGGACCAGGAGCTGCTCATCTACGAGGCCTTCCCCCACGACTCGCAGCTCAGCCAGGGGAACCTCAAAGTCCGCTTTAAGAAGGTGCCGTGGCTGGGCCGAGCTGGGCAGGGGGTGATGCAGAGCAGGGGCAGGAGAGGACTTGGCCCTCATGGCAGCCCCCACCCTAGGTCCCCCACAACATCAACTTCCGTGAGAAGAAGCTAAAGCTGTCCAAGAAAAAGGCAGAAGGTGGCAGCGCCGAGGAGGGCGTTGGGGCCCGTGGCCGCGTGGCACGGTTCCGCTACTTCGAGGACATTTATGGCTACTCGGGGGTAGGCAGGCAGCTTTACGGGAGTCCAGAGTGGGGCAGACAGGGCCTGTTCCTGGCGGCCTCTTCATGGTGCCTGCCCCCAGGTGTTCATCTGTGGCCCCTCACCCCACTGGCTCCTCGTGACTGGCCGGGGGGCCCTGCGGCTACACCCCATGGGCATTGACGGCCCCATTGACTCCTTTGCTCCGTTTCACAATGTCAACTGCCCCCGCGGCTTCCTGTACTTCAACAGACAGGTAGGGAGGCCCCAGGGCTGGTGTTTCCCCACGTGGCCCTGGCCTGGTTCCCTCCGACACTCGCCAGTGCTGCCCGAGGAGGACCAGGTGCTGGGGCCCCACAAGTGAGGCCTTTGATGGCTGGGGATGGGGGGACCCTGGGATCCACCTAGAGGATTGGGGGGTAAACAGAGAGAGGGTGGTGGGGGCCAAGGCCAAGGCGGTGAAACCTGGGGCTTAACACTGGGAAGGTTTGGAGGATGGGGCTGTTGGGAGTGAAGCTACAGCCCACCAGGGTACCTGCCTGGACAGCTGGGGTCCAGTGACTGCTCTGTGGGCTTGGAGAGCAGCTCTGTCCCTTAGGAGCTGTGTGACTCTGGGTGAGGTGCTCACCCTATCTGAGCCTCAGTTTCCTCTTTTTTGACATCACGCTGATAGCAGTGACCCCTTGGGCCACTCTGAGGACTCAGTGGTGATGTGGCAAGTGCTTTGCAAGTGCTCATGCCCTTAGGACTGGGTGAAGGAGAGCAGCTCTGGGCCCTCGCAGGGGCCTTCATCGCCCTCTATGTCTGGCCGTCCCTTACCCTGGCCCAGACTACAGCTGTGGCCAGCATCCCAGCCCTGGGCAAGCCTGGGAGAAGGGACGGGAAGCCCATGAAGCACAGGACAGCAAGCTGTGGCCTCTCTTGGGGCCTCGCCTGGACACAGCAGCCCCTTGCACACCCCTGCTCCAACAGAGCTGAGGGCTCATCCCAGGGAGCCCTTGGAGGCCTGGGTCACCTGTCCTGCCTGATGCCAGGCCTCGTTGACCCGTCCCCCACAGGGCGAACTGAGGATCAGCGTCCTGCCTGCCTACTTGTCCTATGATGCCCCGTGGCCTGTCAGGAAGATCCCACTGCGCTGCACGGCCCATTATGTGGCTTACCACGTGGAGTCCAAGGTCTGACCCCTCCACCAAGGCCAGGGACCTTCTGGTCCTAGCCTCTGGCATGTGACGCCCTCCACTCCCCACCTCCCAGGTGTACGCTGTCGCCACCAGCACCAACACACCGTGCACACGCATCCCACGCATGACAGGCGAGGAGAAGGAGTTTGAGACCATCGAGAGAGGTGCGCGACACCCCAAGTGGGGACCGTTCTTGGGGCGGCCCCACCCTGACTCACTCCTTCGTCCTTGCAGATGACCGGTACATCCACCCCCAGCAGGAGGCCTTCTCCATCCAGCTCATCTCCCCAGTCAGCTGGGAAGCCATCCCCAACGCCAGGTGAGGCTGGGCCCGGGCGGGGGCTGGCGGCTGGCCCAGGGTTGCGTCCTGACCTGGCCTCACACAGGATCGAGCTGGAGGAGTGGGAGCATGTGACGTGCATGAAGACAGTGTCGCTGCGCAGCGAGGAGACCGTGTCAGGCCTCAAGGGCTATGTGGCTGCTGGGACTTGCCTCATGCAAGGGGAGGAGGTCACATGCCGCGGGCGGGTAAGGGCCAGGGCTGGGGGCTGGCAGTGCCCAGCATCCCCTGTGCTGTCCCCGTGTTTCACACCCCCACCCCGGCAGATCCTGATCATGGACGTGATCGAGGTGGTGCCCGAGCCCGGCCAACCCCTGACCAAGAACAAGTTCAAGGTCCTGTATGAGAAAGAGCAGAAGGGGCCTGTGACTGCCCTGTGCCATTGCAATGGCCACCTGGTGTCGGCCATTGGTCAGAAGGTGCGTGTCCCCCACTCCTGCGACCTGAGCATCAGCCTGCCGCCCACCACTCACTGCTCACCCCCTCCCCCAGATCTTCCTGTGGAGCCTACGGGCCAGCGAGCTTACGGGCATGGCCTTCATCGACACCCAGCTCTACATCCACCAGATGATCAGCGTCAAGAACTTCATCCTGGCCGCGGACGTCATGAAGAGCATCTCACTGCTGCGCTACCAGGAGGAGAGCAAGACGCTGAGCCTTGTGTCCCGGGTACCCTGAGGGGCCTGAGGACCGTGTGTGGGGTGGGCGCTGGCCCCATGCTGACCCTGACATTCTTCCCCTCCCTGTCCCCAGGATGCCAAGCCCCTGGAAGTGTACAGTGTGGACTTCATGGTGGACAACGCCCAGCTGGGCTTCCTGGGTGAGTGCGAGGCCTGGGGGCTGGAGTTGCCGAGACTTTTGGGGTGGCTGGGGCTGACTTGGGGCTCTGTTCTCCAGTGTCTGACCGTGACCGCAACCTCATGGTATATATGTACCTGCCAGAAGGTGAGTACTCTCTCTGTCCCTTTGCTGGGCTGGGTGCTGGTGGCTGGGCGGGCAGTGACCTGAGGTCCTTCTGGCCCAGCCAAGGAGAGCTTTGGGGGCATGCGCCTGCTGCGCCGGGCAGACTTCCATGTGGGTGCCCACGTGAACACATTCTGGAGGACCCCGTGCCGGGGGGCTGCTGAGGGGCCCAGCAAGAAGTCGGTTGTGTGGGAGAACAAGCACATCACGTGGTTCGGTGAGTGCCAGGGCAGAATGGGCCGGGGTGTGGTGGGGGGGATCAGTGGGGCTCACAGTGTGCCCCCCCCGCAGCCACACTGGACGGTGGCATTGGGCTCCTGCTGCCCATGCAGGAGAAGACCTACCGGCGTCTGCTGATGTTGCAGAATGCTCTGACCACCATGCTGCCCCACCACGCCGGCCTCAACCCCCGTGCCTTCCGGTGAGCCTACCACCCACCTGTCGGGACACCCGGACTCCCTCAGGTCTGTCCTGACCCTTCACCATCCATGTACCTCCCCCAGGATGCTGCACGTGGACAGGCGCATCCTACAGAATGCTGTGCGTAACGTCCTAGATGGGGAGCTGCTCAACCGCTATCTGTACCTGAGCACTATGGAGCGAGGCGAGCTGGCCAAGAAGATCGGCACCACGCCCGACATCGTGAGCCAGCCCTGCCCCACCCCAGCCTCACCCTGCCCTGCCCTGCCCTCAGCCTGCTCTCACCCACTCCCTCTCCCTGCAGATCCTGGATGACCTGTTGGAGACAGATCGTGTCACTGCCCACTTCTAGACCCCAGATGCTGCCCCCATGCCCCTTTTGTACAAAACACAAGGAAAAAGATTGATTTGATTTGAGAACGTGTGGTCATTCCAAGGTCTCCTGGCCCAGCTGTGGTCAGAGCCCCACGGCGGCCCCCAGCTCCAGGCCACAGTTGCTGCAATGCCCCAGGTCTTATGGTGTCCACACCTCCAGCCCTGGCCAGCTCCATCGGCCTGAGGCTGGGCACACTGCTGGCCCTGGACATGCTCTGTGGTCCTTCTGCCCTGGGCTCCCTAGGTTTCCAGGTACTCATAGAGCCCCTCGGGCTTGGGCATGAGGCCCAGGTGGACCAAGACTCGAACCAGGAGGGCGGTGAGCCGCATCGATAGGGTCTCCAGCCTGGGGTGGGTGAAGGGGTCACAGGTTGGTGGGCAGCAGGCCTTGGCCACCCGCCTGCTGGCCCCCTCCTGTCCACTCACCTCAGGGCCACTTCAAACTTGAACATCTCCCAGACGACCCTGATATGGCGAAGGAGGCTGGCACCACAGACGTTCTGGTATGCTTCGCCCACCAGGCGGCTCCAGCCCCTGACCGCACTGCCCGGAGACAGGGTCAGCCTGGCCCTGCCCTGCCACCCCGCCGCCTGCCCCCACCCCGCCATGCCCCACAGCACATCACACCTCTTGGCCATGAGAAAGTAGCGGTCGACAGGGGCGCCGAGGGTGGCGTTGATGGCGCGCACGGTGTTGATGTTGCGCAGCACAAGCAGCATGGGCCGGGGCAGGGCCTTGAGCACGCCCATGATGTCCTCGAAGTGCTCCCGCGCCATGTCCTGCATGTAGGCTGCCTCCTCACGGCTCAGCAGGTGCGAACGCCACAGCTGCCCCAGGCGCACGGGTCGCTGCATGAGCACCTCAGAGAACAGGAAGTAGTCTGGGGGAGGGCTGAGCCAGGGCTGTGTGCCCTACCTGCCTGTGCACCTGCATGCCCCAGCCTCACCTTGCACCCCAAGTGTGGCTGCATGTGCCTTCATCGCAGCGTCATCCCTCAGAATGATGGCCCGCCACAGCTGGCACAGGGCTGACCGGTCCCTGTGGGGGCCCAGCAGTGAGCCCAGAGCCACCAGGGCAGGAAAGGCCAGCCCCAGGGCGAGCGCCCAGCCCAGACCCCGAGCTCCCAGCTTACTTCTCGTCCAGGAATTGGTACAGCCCGTGGTCCAGCAGCACCAGCTGTGCCTTCCCATCTGGGCCTTTCCGCACCAGAACTGGGGACACAGCACTTAGGGTTATACCACCTTTCCCAACCCCCACCCCTGACCTCTACCTCCTGGGGGCTTTTCCTACCATTGCCAGGGTGGGGGTCAGAGTGGATGAAGCCTGTGTAAAATATTTGTTCTGCAAAAGCCTGGATCAACTTCTCTGCTATCTGGGGAGAGAACAGGACCATGCCGTGTCATCCCATGCACACAGCACACTCACCTCTCCCTCCTCCCCACATCCCATGTACACAGCACTCACGTCCTGCACTGCCAGCCCCATGGTCTTGATGGCCTCCACATCGTTGACCTTGCAGCCCTCACAGAATTCAGCAGTTAGCACGCGCTGGGAGAGAGCAAGAGGCTGAGCTTAGCAGACGTGTGCACCCCCACCCGGGAGGGGGCCCAGCCCACCTTGCTGGACGTGTCCCAGTGCACGCGGGGCACCACGATGTGCTGGAAGTGCTGCAGCTCCCGTGCACAGCGCTCAGCGTTTCGGCCCTCATTCTCGAAGTCCAACTCCTGGGCCAGTGTCCCCTTCAGGTCCTGGGGGCCAGACAGGTAATATGGTGTACAGGTTGCGGGCCAGCCCACGTGTGGCACATGCAGGACGTTGCCTCTGGGCAGCAGTTACCTGGAGGACCCAGCTGAAGCCGAAGCTGGGGTGCATGAACTCGATGAGCCGGAGCAGGAGCTCAAGGGTGTGGATGTCCCCGTCAAAGCGGTCCCTCAGGTCGATGTACTGCACCTACATCGGGCGAGGGTGCAGGGAGCACCTGCAGCTGCCACCACAGCCCCAGAGCCCACTGCAGTGCAAGGCAAGCTCGTGTGTACCTTCACAGCCACGGCCGTGCCATCGTGCAGCTTGGCTCGGTGCACCTGGGCCAGGCTTGCAGCGGCAATTGGCTGGTAGTCAAACTCCTGGAACAGCTTGTGGGGTGGAGCCTGGAAGTCTTCAAGGAACAACTGGTCCACCTGGCAGGAGAGGGTTCTTGGAGAAGCGTGGGGGCCACTGCCGGAGCCCTCCCAGCCTCTGTGATCCCAACAGCAGGGCTCACCTCCTGGAAGCCACGCGTGAGAGCCCTGTCCTCCAGCACACGCAGCGTCCTGATGTACTCAGGGGGCAGCAAGTGGTTGAAGGAGCACAGCCCTTGGCCCAGCTTCACGTAGAGGCCCCCGTTGCTGATGGCCCCGGCCACCAGGGCATTAGCTGCCCTCTGGTGACACGCAGACATCACTTCCAAGTACCCCGGGCTGTTCTGACCACAGGCATGGAGGGAGGGGATGGGGACGGGTGGGTACCTCCTCAGTCCCCCCAACACCCGCCTCCTCCCGGGCGCCCCTGCAGGCTGCAAAGACAGGCCCAGCTATGGCCCAAGGCGCAGGGACAAACCTCTTCCACCCCTTGCAGGATGATGTTCGTGCACCACCAGTAGTCCAGGGAGATCTGTAGGCCAATCCTCAAAGACCTGTCGGCAGAGGCTGCTTTAAGCCCCAGCAGGCACTCATCTCAGATGCTGCTGTCTAGCCCCACCCCTGCCAGCCCCTCAGACCACTGTGAGCACGTGGCAGGGGCTGCCGGGTCCTGGCACAGCCTCTTTACACTCAGGACAGCATTGCCAGCAGGTCAGTCTCAGCTCCTGGTCTGCAGAACAGCCAGCCTGTACCTACACCACTCCTCAGTCCCTGAACACAACACTGACGGACACCCAGGATAGATGGGAAGGGCCAGAACTAGGATGGGGGTCTCGGGCCCTAACAACCAGGCGTGGTTTCTTTTTCATTCTTTTATAACGTTCATTATAAAAAAATCCACTCAAGACCTGGCACAGTTGTGACAGCTGACAAGGTAGCCACTCTGTCACCAGCTCCCATCTGCAGACTGCGCCCTCATTCTGGGGCCCCCTCCACTCCTGCCTTCTCCACATTCAGCGACCTCTCCTGGACTGGGCCCTGCCAGCCCCCCGCAGGTGCCCTCCACACATCTGTGGACAGAAGCCCCCAGGGAGTAGAATCCCAGAGCTGGGACTCAAGTGCTCTCCTGGCTGAGGACCAGGCCCCTTCTGGTGTCGGCAGGGGTCCTCACTCACTCCCCATGCCCCAGGCTACAGACTGGCAGCCCTGGGTCTGGAGAGGGAAGGATCCAGGACCAGAATCCAGGCCTTCAGCGTTGCAGACTGCAGACCCTTGGCCCTTCATGATAGGGATGTGGGCTCCTGCTCCTCAAGACAGAGCCCCAAGAGGACCTGGGGCCACCAGTCCAAGCCAAGCCTCTCCATCCCGCCTCTCAGCTGTATCCCGCTCCAGAAAGACCAACCATGTGATTAGAGTTTTTGGGCTCTGAGCCAAGTGATATAAACCCAACTGGGGATGGAGGTGGGGCTGGAGACAGTTCAGTCATGAGGCCAATGACTCAATCATGCCCACATAATGAAACCCCAACAGAAACTCTGGACACTGAAGCTCAGGGGGCTAATCCAAATGGATTGTCACATCAATGACAGGAGGGTAATGCAACTCTGAGGATGTGGAAACTCTGCCTTTGGGATCCTCCCAGACCTCACCCTGCACATCTCTTCCTTTGGCTGGTTCTGATTTGTATCCTTTTGCTATAATAACACTGTAATCATAAGTGTAGCACTTTCCTGAGTTCTGTGAGTTGTCCTAGGGAGCTGTTAAAACTGAGGGAGTCTGTAGAGACCCCCAATTTGTAGCCAGTGGTTTGAAGTGAGGGAGGCTGCAGGAACCCCAGAACTTGCAGCTGGTGTCAGAAGTCTTAGGCAGACGTGGAGGTCTGGAGGACCAGGATCTGACTTTGAATTTAGCCATGAGAGTCAAGGAGACCCTGGGGGACTGTTCCAGACTGAAGCAGATTAAACATGAACCCTGGACCTGATCCTTGTGCTAAAAAGGTGGTTACTGGGGCACCTGGTGACATACGAATGGGGTCTGAGCATTACAGGAAAATAATAGATGGTTCCTGATTGTGGTTATGGAGAGAACGTCCCTGTTTAGGAAATACACTCAAGGTTTCAGGGATAGTGGAGCATGTTGACAATTTATTTGCAAGTGTTTCAAGCAGAAAAAAGTTCCTTTGTATTCTTGCAACTTTTCTGGACATTTGAAATTGTGTCCCAAAAAACGGGGAAAGCCCACAGAGATTTAAAAAATTAAAATTAGGGGCTGGCCCGGAGGTGTAGCAGTTAAGTGTGCACATGCCACTTCAGCAGCCTGGGGTTCGCAGGTTCGCACCGCTGTCAAGCCATGCTGTGGCGGCGTCCCATATAAAATAGAGGAAGATGGGCACGGACGTTAGCCCAGGGCCAGTCTTCCTCAGCAAAAAGAGGAGGATTGGCAACGGATGTTAGCTTAGGGCTAATCTTCCTCACACAAAAAAAATGACATTAAATAAGGGGTGGGGTGAAGCCAGGGCCCTGATGCAAACCTTCCACCACCCCCAGTCTCTGAGTGCCTGGCACACATGACGTGTTCTGATACCCACTCTCATGCAACAGGACAAGGTGCCAACTCCTCGTGGCGACCTGGTCCTGACTTATTCCCCACTGTGCTCCCTCCTGGGGCCCTGTTACCCAGGACGTGCTGTGTGGCCCTGCAGTCACCCTGCACCCAGCCAGGGATGCTCCATCAGGCTTGCCTGTCCTGCAACTGTTAGGACTTAGAGCTGACAAGAATGTGCAGACTGTTGGGAAAATAATAGTTCTAGCTCCCCTCCCTCCAATCCCAGCTCACCCTCAGAAAGCAAGCTGTGAAAATTCATTTTCCCAGGAGGGAAGGAGAAAAGGCAGACACGCCAAGCCTGCTGCTGGGGTATCTAACAGTGGGAAACGGCAGAAAGTAAGATAAGCCGAGACTTGCCAAGTGTGCATTTCAGAACCAGGCTGCGTGGGGACAGTCCCCACCAGTCTTGCATGGTCCCACACAGTGGAAGGTCATGGAAGAGAAAACAGAGCCAACTCCACGCTCTGCCCTCATCAACCTCGGGGCTATGGAGACTGGACAACCTTGTGGGACACAGGCCACCGCCCAGAACCTGCCCTGGGGTGACTAGGAGTTCCAGGCAAGCCCATCAACTGACCACCCAGGGAGTTGGTGCAGGGGCGCCACCACCACCAGTGAGCTGAGAAGTAATGGGCTTGTTTCATTCTCGAGGCAGGAAGTGGTCAAGCATTCAGCCATCCACCAACCTAGGGCCGCCACTAGCGTAAACCTTAATGAAGTTTCTGGCTAAGTATCTGAAGGTCTTTGCAGTCCTAAGCTTTCCATTGAGAAATCAACCTAGACCGAGAGGCAGCAGGTGCTCAGAGCCAGTGGAATGGGACCACCCCCCAACCCCCGCAGCCTCCTTAACCAAAGTCTCACGTGAGCTCCCTCCCCAGGCAATCGTGTGCACCCCCTAGCTGAACAGTGGGAACGGGTAAACTGAGATTTCATTCACTGCCAAGAGCCGGTTCTCAGGACTTGGTGGCTGTAGGAGTTCCTGGATCTGACCAAGAGGGGGAATGCCTACCCTAGGTGCTCTAACAGGAAGATCACCCCTGTCCCCCAAATCCTGCACTGGGAGACAAAGGAGTATGAAAAGAGCCTTCAGTTTAAGACAGCCTTGATGTTAATATCATATCCAGACATCACCCATCTCTGGTCCAGTCCACTGGGAGGGAAGGTGAGTCGGCAGCCCTCCCCTGAGCCCCAAACCTCTCTGTCTGGATGCCAACTCTCCTTGAGGGGGCAAGAAGGAAGATGAGGAGGAAGAGGCAGCTGCCTGTCTGCCCACCAGCTGGCAGAAGTCCCAGGAGGGGGAGATCTGCCTCTGCCCCTCACAGGTCAAGGTAGATCTCAAGGGTCTGTGGAGGCCGTGTCCAGTATGGATGGCTCACATGCACTATGCCCACGTGGACCCTGCGTTGCTGGGCTGCCCCACCAGGCAGCACAAGAATGCCTGGAAGGCAGCTTGACAGTTCCCAGCAAAACCCTGCAGCCCCTCCCAGCCCCCTCAAGGCCCCACACATCTGAGGGATAGGACTGGGCAGGGAAGAAAGCCAAGCTACGCCACCCAGACCCTCCTACCTGCTAAAGCGCCCAACACCGTCCACCATGAGCCGCAGCCGCCTCCTCTCCTGCGGCTCCGCCATGAAATAGCGGACTCCAAGAAGCAGGGGCCCCCCCACCGCTGTGGCAGAAAGCGCCTTCTTCCACAGGGGCTGGCGTCTCGCGGACCTGGAGGGAGACAGGTGCACAGCCTGGGTTACTTCCCATCTGTCCCTCCCTGCTTGGCCTGGACTCTGCAGGACCCTGCTCCCTCTGGTTGGCCAAAGCCTGGCCAACCCCATGGATGCTACAGCTGCGCTAGGAGCCTCTGCAGGTGACATGGGTTCCAGACACCTGTGTGGTCACTAGAGTGCTCTCTGACCACTGCCTCCAAGTCACCTTGCCTGAGTCCCACAGACCCTGGACACCAGACTCCAAGGGGCCAGTGGATCTAGAAAGTGGCTCCTTGGCTACATGGGAAGCAGCTCAAGGGCAGGACTGTAGAGGGTTACAACAACTGTCCCCCTCGCTGATGGCCCAACTAGACTGCAAGTGTCAGGAAGGCAGAGCCCGGGTAAGAGGCGCAGCTAACACATACTGAATAAGGTGAGAGCTCAAGACAAGGAATCTAGCAGCAGCCCCACACACGCTGAACCCAGTGGGAGCCGAATCCCATGGCAGCCCCAGCATCCAGTCACGTGTCTGCCCCACAGTCACCAAACAGAGAGCGAGCATTCAGCAACTCTCACCCCGAGTTCTGCCAGGCCTGAGTCTTGCCTCTGGCCGCCTTCCCACCTCACTCCCGCCCCATCCTGCCCACAGTCCCACCCTCCTGCGCTCTGCACCCAACACTCTGTTATCTTCAGAGCACACAGCTCTAGCTGCCATCTGCTCATGATGGTGCTGTTGGGGTGTCCCGCCCCTCAAACTCCAGTCCCAGGTCAGGACCCTGGTGGTCGTGGATCCCAGTGCACTGCACCAAGGAGCAAACGCATCCCCTCTTGAGGGTGAGGGTACAGAGAAGGTCCAGCCCCACAGCAGAGGTCATCCATCCCTGCCTGGCGAGCAGCACATGCCCTGCAGGGTGCCTGTGGCTGTGGAGAACTCACCACCTCGCAGGCAGGACCCTGAGGTTTCTCCAGAAGAAGGCAGCAGGGGACGGCCAGGGCTTCGGCCGGCTCTGCAGCAGAGCAGAGTGGAAGTGGCAAAGTTGTGACTGCAAAGTGAGCAACGGCACAGGTCAGACGAGGCAGGAACACGCCCTCTGGTCTTCTGTCTCCCACATCCTCACAGCATGCATCTGAGGGGCAAGCTGTGCCTCCCCTACCCTCCACCCAAATACATCATGGAAGAGTGTCAGTGCTGCCTGGCCTGTGTGTGGGCCCAGCCCACGTGTTGGACTCTGGAATGCAGGACAGTTCCACCTGTTGAGAGCAAGGCTGAGGTCAAAGTATCCCATAAGAGAAGGCTACACACAGTTTGCACCAGGAGCTGCTGCTTCAGACACACCTCAATGGCCATTAGAAATGCCCTGCCTTTGAATGTCCCCGTGGTCCCCGCCCCTGACACTCTACTAGGACCCTGGGACCTATCATTTACTATTTCCTGCTGCTGAGACCACTGACCAGCAGCCTCAGAAAGGCAACCTGCATTTCCAAAGACAACGTCAAGAATGCTTAATCACACAATCAGAAAGATGTCAGACGCTAAGGTGGAAGACGAGATGCAGGAAAAATGGACCTCGTGTAGGTCATTGTTCTAAAAGCAAATGAAGGCACAAGGAATTCCACTTACTAAGACCCCAGAGGTGGAGACTTGGAAAGCTTCTACCTGGAGAAGGGTAGGGAAGGCCGAGTGGAAGATATGCCACAGCCAGCAGGACACGTAGAGAAGCAAAGTACCACGGAGACGCTGCACAACGTGCTGCCTTATTTTAGTGACCGTAGAAACATCACGGCTCTCCTACGCTCACTGGCAACCTTGGTCTCCCAATCTTATTTGAATTATGAGGTCTTAAGAGTTCCTCAGGGGCCGGCCCGGTGGCATAGTGGTTAAGTTTGTGGGCTCGACTTTGGCGGCCTGGGGTTTGCAGGTTCAGATCCTAGGCGTGGACCTACGCACTGCTTATCAGGCCATGCTGTGGCGGCGTCCCACATAAAGTAGAGGAAGATGGGCACAATGTTAGCCCAGGGCCAATCTTCCTCAGCAAAAAGAGGAGGATTGGCAACAGATGTTAGCTCAAGGCTAATCTTCCTCACCAAAAAAAAAAAAAAAAAAAAGAGTTCCTCAACCACAAATACGCCAACTGTAAATTCGTAGTCTTTAGGGAAAAAAGGATTGTGCATACTAAGTCATAACCTGCAGCACAGATGTTAACATTATTATTGTGAACTCTGGGCCAAATAAGGACCTGACTTTCCAAAAACTTTCTGGCCAAAGTGTACAGCCCTGAAGACAATTTCAAGGACTGAAAAACAACACAAAAGTCAAAGGAAAAGGTCCATGACCTACTGTGCCAAGAGGAGAACAAGGGCTGACAGAAAACCTCTGCTCAGCAAGGCCACACACAGCGAGTGCAGATCCTCAAGGAAAGCCCTTGAGAGGCAAGAAAGGCACCACAGGCAGACAGGAGGTGAGGGCCAGCAGCAGGCAGAGACTCGGGGGTCCACAGCTCCAGCCTTCTGTGCAAGAGGGCAGCACAGCGCGCTGCCCACCCTGCTGCCCTTCTGGTCCCCACAACCTGACTTGGCCACGTGTGCAGCAGAAGGGGAGGCCCAGTGAACAGGCACCTGTGACCACAGATGGCGGACAGCTGCTCAGAACATTAGTCAGTGCCTGCAGGATGGCTGGTTCCAGGCTGGGATCCCAACTGCCTCCTACCTTACATCAGACAAGGGTTTGTGACAACAGCAGGTGTACAGGAGGGCGAAGCCCTGCCTGCCCCTACACTGTGCCCTCCCCTAGGTGTAACTCTGCCCAAGCTCCGTCCAGACCCTTCCTGTTCTCTGCGACGAGGTCTCCAGACCCCTCCCTGTACTGCTCACCTGACTCCACATCTCCTACCACACACGCCCACCAAACAAACCCTACCCACGAGGACCAGTGTGACAATGGGTCCTGCGTGCAACCAGAGACCACAGAGGCAGACAGAACCACAGGGCCACCAGGACAGCATAGGGCTCAAGGGAGGAAGGGATCCTGCCACCTGGCAGTGAGCAGGACTTCTACGTGGACACTGGGGAGGGTCTTCTAGGTAGAGGGCACAGCATCAGTGAAGGCGTGAAACCAGGACAGTATAGGGTGTTTCTGAGGAGGAGAAGCCAGGACCGTGTGGCTGGAAACATAATGTGCGCTCAAGAGGGGGAGGGGGGCTGGAAACATATGTGTGCTCAAGAGGGGGAGGGGGGCTGCCCCAGAGGAAAGGGTGGGCAGCAAAGTGAGCTGGACCCAGCCGGTGTCCCAGGGCCCCGGGGGTTCCAGCAGGGAGGGGAGATGTGCTGGGAAGGTCACCCGGGAGGAGGCAGGGGCAAGTATTCAGTCAGAGGGGGCTGGAGCCCTAGGCAGAGCCATGGCCCCAGGGAGGGTGGCTGGGTGACAGAGCCAAGAGGATTCAGGGCAAGCGTGAGGAGCTGAGCAAGATGACCCAAGGCCGGCGCCTGAGAGCCAGGAGCCTCGAGGCCATCCATACCAGCTGCCTGCTCCTCTGGCCAGTGAGGATTCTGTTGTGATTCTGATCTCGGCAAGACCACAAGCCCACTGAATCAGAACTGACAACAGCCACCAGCTGCAAACCACCGCTGCTCAACAGGCCTTATCAGTGACCCTGAGAACACCCCAACAAGCAGATCCAGAGTGTGGGACATTCTCCAAACAATGGCCTGGCCTCTTCAGAAAGTCATTAAGACCCATGAGTTGGGAACTACTGGTGCTGGGCATAGCCATTTATCAATTCTCTCCACTTCCGTAAATATTTGCAATTTTTAATAACAAGAAGTTAAAAAAAAGTTAGGGGAAAAAAAGTGGGAGAACTGTTGTAGATTGGGAGGCTAGACAGACCAACACCAAGTACAAAGCATGAATCTTGACCAGACCTCAATCTGAAAGAAAGCACCTATAACATACATTTCTGGGACAACACACAAATCTGAATACGGACAGCAGACATTAGGGAATTACTGTTAGTATTTTCAGGCATGATAAATTCACCATGATTACGTAAGAGAATGTCCCTGTTTAGGGGATGCACGTTGAAGTATTTAGAGAATATGTGTCAAAATGTCTGTGACTTACTTTCAAATGGTCCAATGACAACAAAATATATACTTTCAAACAGAAATAGAAACAACTAGTGCCAGATAATAACTAATAACGGGTAGATCTAGGTGGTGGGTATCTGGATAATTAAATATCCAGTACCACTCTGTCAACTTGTCCCTATATTTAAATGTTTTCATAATCAAAGGTGCCAGGACAGGGGCATTCTGGAGATGAGGCAGCTGGTGCAGGGCAGGGTCCTCATCTGGAGCGATTCTGCGCCAGGACTTCTGTCTGGAGACACTCTCAGTTGTCACAACTTGGGGGAAGGGGTGCTCCTGCCATCAGGTGGGTGGAGGCCAGGGACGCTGCTCAACACCAGTCAATGTCCAGGATGACCCTACCCTAGAGACTCAGGTAGAGCCGAGGCTGAGAAACCAGGGCAGACTCTGGATCCAGACTTCTGGAGCTGGAACTGGAATCGGGGCTCCAGCACTTCCCAGCCATGCAGCATGGGTAAGTTATTTCCCTCTCTGGGCCTCAGTTTCCCTGTCTAGAAAGTGGGGATCGCTGCACTATTAAAGTGCGGGACAAGCGAACTGACATCTGCAAAGCCCTCGGAGCACTGCCCCGCCCACACATGCACCATGTGAGTGTGTGCAGATGTGCATGCTGAGGTCACCCTGGGGTCAAGGAGCCGCTAGTCTCTGCCAGGCCCTCCTCCTCACTGTGCCAAGCCGTCTGCTGGTCCCCGATGCCCTTACCCTCCTCCCAACAACCCTGCCCCCCTACTTTCAGGAGAGTGAAAGGGCAGCAAAGTAGGATTTGCTGCAAAGTTCCAATGGGGTTCATTGATTCAGAAGCTGCACCACTGCAGGCAAAGAAGGAAAATGGCCAAAGCTGACAACAATAATTATTTTGCGTCATTAGCATTCAGAAGGAAAGGAAAGATCCATGAGTTATTCTAGTCAACATGCCAACGAACTGGAGGAGCAGAGCAAAGGGCCTCACGATGCAGAGGCTGGGAGCACCAGCGCTGAAGCGAGGGCTGGCAAGGAAGGTAACACGCCAAAAGCTCAGGCACAGCTGTGCCAAGACCACGGGCTGAACTCAGCCTCTCACGACCCCGAATGCCCCTGTGAGGGCTGAGCAGGAGGGGGCCGAATGTGTGCTCTGGGTGTGTCTGACCTAGAGAGAGCAGAAGACTGCAGGTGAGGAGAGCTCCCCCAAGAGAGGGTTCGCCCTTCAAGTGCTACCACCTGGAGAAGGCCCACGGTCTCTTAGGGAGACTCCGAGGGGCGCACGGTGAGGACTAACCACCAAAGGAGAAGTGTGCGCAGCCCTGGCCAGGCACCAGCCGGTCAGTGGCCCCTCAGGTTTTCTGGTGGCCCCAGGAGAACAGCACAGAATGTATAGACGGTGCATAACGCAAAGCACTCTTGCGCTGACGGGGTGCCGCGGAGCAGGGCAGAAGCCACTGAGTGCTGAGCCCCACACTGGAGCGAGACAGGCCTGGTCCACACGCCTCACTGCCCTTCACCCTGGGCCTAGGGGCGCTCCCCTGCTCTGACACCTTTCATCTGTGAACAGGAGGTAACAGTGTCCACCTTGCAAGGCTAGAAAGAGGGTACTTCCCTTAGGGCTCAGCACTTGACAGGTACTCAACAAACGTGGACATTTCCTATGGCGGGGACTGTCACACTTACTTTCTCACGTGATCCACAACTAAAACTCCTGGCAAAGCCGGGAGTGGAACACGAGTCTAACTGCTTCCTCAGTTGACCCTGTTTCCATTCCCAAACTGGCCTGCAGTGAAATCCCTCAATGCGGAGGGGTCCTGACAGCCAAAGCAGAGCACATTGTCCCCAAGAGTCATTCATATGCAAGGGTTTCGTGAGAAAAAGCCAAGTCACCTAATGGATAAATAACTTTAAACATCATTTTCATGTTAAAACATACAGTATCTTTACAGAGGAGAATGCTAAATCTGAATTATTCTACACTAAAGCATGAGACCCTGGCTGTGTCCCCAGCCCCCTGACGACTATCCACAACTGTTAGGGGCTCTGTTGGGGAAGCTGAGGCCCAGAGTCCACAGCCTCTGGGCACATGGTCAACACAGTGCCAGGTCCTCTTGTGTACACAGGCTCAGCGTGGATGAGGCCAGGAAAGTAACGGCCAGCCCCTGACCACAGTTCCCAGTAATAGTCTTCTGCTATTTTCTTAGGAACCACCACTGCAGGAGGAGCTTTGGCTGCATTTCGTCATTCCCAGCTCATTTCCCAGCACTGACTCCTCACTCACTTTGTCACTGTTATCTCCGTGACAAAGATCCCTCTGGTAGACGCTGGACAACCCAAGCAAAGCCAGACCCAGGCTCATTCTCCAGGCTGCTGTCCTGCCCGGAATGCCCTTCACCCCACCCTGATTCACACACTCACGACACTCTGTCTCACCACACTCCCCCCAGCCCTGCACCTTGTACATACCTCTCTCACTGTCCTTGTCACACAGGAGTTAGTTTACAGTCTCTGTCTCCTCACCAGACTGAGCGGGGCCCACCCCTCAATCACCTCTGTACTTCTAGGATCTAGCACGGTGCTTTGCTAGATAAAGCAGAAACTCCATGAACGTTTGCTGAATTGAGATAAATGCTGGCTAAGCACAGAACAAATCAGGACCCCACGTGGCCCAGGCGAGGATGCTAGCTGAGCAAGAGGCAAAGGCCACAGTGAGGCAAGAGATGGCAGCAGCCCCTGCAGCAGCCTGGCCCTGGACAGGACTCCAAGGATGAGGCCTCGTGCTGACTACTCCAGAACTCCCACCAGGGCCCACAGGGCTGTTCAAGTGCCTGGGTCCTCCCAGTCTGGAATGTTCAGTGCTCCACAAACTATCCCCATCGCACAGGAGACATTCCCAACGCCCAAAGAGGTTATGTAGCTATAAATGTGGGCCAGAGTCTACAGCCAGACCTTCCAGGAAATAGTCCAGGGTAATTTCTACCACATATATAACCCTAACCACACCCAGAGCTTGAGCACCAGAGCGTGCTGGGAAACAGGCGCAGAGAAGGCTGCGGGTCCCCAGGATATTCTCCCACACACCAGTGCCTTCTCACCAGGATGACCACACACCCGGCTTGCCTGGGACTGTCCCCGTCTACACGTGTTGTCCCAGCACTCCTCTCACTCCCAAAGCCTTCCACTTTGGACAAGATGAGACGGACCTCCTCTACCCTGGCCTCTCATGCTTTCTTAGAGTGTGGGCACAGTCTGTCTGCAGAAACAGAGTGCTCATCTGAAACTCAACTAACAACCCATAAAGCAGCAAAAAAAGAGCTCTGAGTAACACTCAGATATTACAAAGCTCACAAAATTTGTGTGCGCTTTAACACAGAACCATGAGTGTGCCCGCTCATGTTTTAGGCACCAGCTGGGTTGTCTGTTTTTCTAACACCCCGTAGATTAGACACAGATTATAAGGAAGATAAAAGGTCATTACAGACAAACCAGACCAAAGCAGCAAGAAGCAACTGCTGAGTCTCATGATGAGGCCTGAAACAGAAAAACTACAGAAGTGACAAGAACCTGGGCAGTGTAAAGGCAGGGCCTACAGCCCTGTGCACCGCAGCAGGAAAGGAGACCAAGGCACAGAAACATTCTCATGGTGAAGAAGCGAGACACTGGGAATCTGGGCCCAGGAGAGGTGGTCTGGAGACCGTGAATAGGGCACCCTGCCCCTTTCTGTTCCAAGGGTCTGTGACCCTCACAACACCAGTCAGGACCCAGCAGCCTACCGGGCCCGCTCCACGTACTAGTTACAAGCAGCTCCCAGTTAGGGGCTAAAACCTGCCGGTCCACTCCCTAGGCTGCCCGGAGGATGAAGTGACCTGAATATATGAAGAAGCTTTATAAACTGTCAAGTGCTGTACTAAAGGCCAACTCAGTGTCTCTCTGCCTGACCCTTAGACTAACACTGCCTCATCAGCTCAGCTCATACAACACCCCTATGTAAAGGAGCTGCTCCCTGAAAGCCACAAGACCTCATGGAAATTCGTCTGCACTACTGACATCTAAACCTACAAGGCCAGGCTTACTAGGAAAATACAAACTCTACAGAAAACTCCATGTTGAAATGCTGATGAACCCTCTAAAGCTCTGAGGATAGGGCTGGATTCTCGGGCAGGGAGTGGGTAAGATCTGGGTCAATGATTACAACACCGGGTTGGAAGGTGCCCATCCTAACTGCAGAGATGCAACAAAAACACAACTGGAAGGTCAGCTGCATTTTCAGGATCCAAAGCAGCACGAGCTGGGAGGGCAGCGAGGGCCAGGCAGAAGCCGAGGAAGGCCTGACAGAGGGGCTTTGCGAGACCGGGGGCGGGGGGGGGCGCCTCCGAGCGGGGCGCCGGGGTCAGCCCACCAGAGCCCTCCGTGTCCTCAGAAGCGGGCCGGGCGTTAGCTCAGGGTGTCTGAGGCGGGCGGGTGACCGGGGAAGGGTTCTCGAGGGCGCAAGTGAAAGGAAAGGCGGGGAGGCCTCCCGCGCGACTCCGGCACGGTCTGGAGCGGGAAGTCTACGGCAGACCGGGGCCGCGAGAGCGCGAAGCCGGCGCCTGGGACAGGGCAGGGGACGGGGCTCTGGGCGGTGGCCTCGGGGGCACGGTTCCCACCACGGCGAACCCGCTTCTGAGGAGGACAGTCCCTCTGCACCTCCGCACAGGGCCGGGCTTCAGGGAGTCTGAAGGACTGGGCATCCGGGAGCTGAGCCCGGTCCCTTGGGAGCCGGAGGGTCCCTGACGGGCTGGCCCGGGCGTCGCGGGGCGGTGCGAAAGCTCGGGGCTCGGAGCCCGGACGCGGGCGGTGGGGAGCGCCGGGCCGCGCGGCGAAAGCTCACCGGTCGCCACATCTTGCCGCCGCCGCTCCGCTCCCGCGGGGCGCAGGCTGCCGTCGCCCGGCCCAGCAGTCCCCGCGGGTGGAGGCGCAGTGCGCACGCACGCCCCGCCCACGACAGTGGGCGGGGCCTTGAGGCCACGCCCCGAGCTGCCCGCATCCGCGGCGGAGAAGCGCCCCCCAGCGGTCCCCAGCGGCCTAGCTTTAGGGCTGGGACTGCGACCCCGCGGGAGCGGCTGCAGGCCCACTCCGGCGGGCACCTCACGGGTCAGTTCTCACTGCCCCTCAGGGGTCTTCTCCCACAGCTAATGGAAGCCGAGGCTCAGGAAGGTCGGCTCACTCGTTTCCCAGGAGCTCTCAGCATGGGCGGAAGCGGGGAAGGAGACGGGACCCCACTGGGAGGTCAGTGCTGAGAGAGCGGAGCCCAGACCTGTGGGGCTCGCACCTGTGGAGTGGGGAATGGCGGCCTTCAGGCTCAACATTGTCAGAATTGACTCTAGTGGAGCCATTTTAAAATGGAGTCGGAGCTGCCTTTCCAGAGAAATTGCTTTGCTGTCTTGAACGTTGGATGGGGCCAAACCTTTGCACTGGGCCCAAAGGGCAACTGTTTTATAGGCGTCAACTCAAAAGCAAATTCACCTATTTTATCTCTAAATGATCTTATTCCGGAATAGCCAAAAGAATTGCAATTCAGGATGTGCACGCTATGGCAAACCGTAGCCAAATCCAGAAAACAAAGCAGGAGAGCTGCTTTTATAGAGAAAAAGGGGGAGCAGAGAGGCGCTGTTCTAAAGGCAAGTCCAATCCGGGAAAGTAGTACTTCAGGGGGGCAATAGCGTCTCCTTGGCTGACCTGCAGCCTTTCTCATTGGCTGACCTGCAGCCTTTCTCATTGGCTGGGCTGAAGCATTTCTCATTGGCTGGGCTGTGGTGTTTCTCATTGGCTGAGCTGTGGTGTTTCTCATTGGCTGGGCTGCGGTGTTTCTCATTGGCTGAGCTGTGGTGTTTCTCATTGGCTGGGCTGCGGTGTTTCTCATTGGCTGAGCTGCAGCATTTCTCATTGGCTGAGCTGTGGCATTTCTCATTGGCTGGGCTGTTGCCTGGTGGGGACAGAAATCTTCCATCATAGTGAAGAAGTGTTACTTCCAGTTCAAGATGCATCAGTCTCTTCCTGTTTGGTGTGATTGACCATGTGTGATGGGAGTGAGAGCTCCCCCTGCTCCAGTTTAGTTAAGGTTCCTTTTATTGCTACAACATTTTGAGGAGCTGCGAATCTATTTTCCAGTTAGTGATGCTGAGCATCTTTTTTTGCACTTATTTGCTATTTGTGTGTCTTCTTAGGAGAAAAGTCTATTTAATATTTTACCTATTTTTTAATTGGGTTATTTCTTTTTATTGTAGAGCTGTAAGAGTTCTTTGTATATTCTGGGTACAAGTCCCTTATCAGATAGATGATTTGCAAACGTTCTCTCCCATTCCATAAATTGTCCTTTCACTTTCTCCATAATGCCCTTTGAAGTATGAAAGTTTTTAATTTTGGTAAAGTCCAATTTACCTATTTTTCTTTTTATTGCTTTTGCTTTTAGACCGTGAAGATTTACTCCCAAGTTTTTTCCCAAGAATTTCATAGTTTTTTTGTGTGTGTGTGAGGAAGATCAGCCCTGAGCTAACATCCGTGCTAACCCTCCTCTTTTTGCTGAGGGAGACCAGCTCTGAGCTAACATCTATTGCCAATCCTCTTCCTTTTTTTCCCCCAAAGCCCCAGTAGATAGTTGTATGTCATAGTTGCACATCCTGCTAGTTGCTGTGTGTGGGACGTGGCCTCAGCATGACCGGAGAAGTGGTGGGTCGGTGCGCGCCCAGGATCCGAACCCGGGCCGCCAGTAGCGGAGCACACGCACTTAACTGCTAAGCCACAGGGCTGGCCCAAAAATTTCATAGTTTTAACTCTTAAATTTAGGTCTATGATCCATATTTAGTTAATTTTTGTATATGGTGTGATGTAGGGGTCCAACTTCGTTCTTCTGAATGTGAATATCCAGTTGTATAAAATATTATTCTTTCAACATTGAATTGTCTTGGCATCTTATCAAAAATCAATTAACCAGAAATGTAAGAGTTTCATTCTGAGCTGTCAGCTGTATTCCATTGATCTATGTGTCTGTCCTTATGTCAGTACCCAGTACCACCCTGTCTTCATTAGTGTAGCTTTGTAGTAAGTTTTGTAATTGTGAGTGATTCCTCCAGTTTCATTCTTTTTTTTTTTTTTTTGTAAGGAAGATTGGCCCTGAGCTAACATCTGCCAATCCTCCTCTTTCTTTTGCTGAGGAAGACTGGCCCTGGGCTAACATCCGTGCCCATCTTCCTCTATTTTATATGGGATGCTCGGGCCGGCCCCATGGCTTAACGGTTAAGTGCGCGCACTCCGCTGCTGGCGGCCCCGGTTTGGATCCCGGGCGCGCACCAATGCACCGCTTCTCCGGCCATGCTGAGGCCGTCTCCCACATACAGCAACTAGAATGATGTGCAGCTATGACATACAACTATCTACTGGGGCTTTGGGGGGAAAAAATAAATAAATAAAATTATACGGGATGCTGCCACAGCATACCTTGACAAGTGGTGCGTCGGTGTGTGTCCGGGATCCAAACTGGCAAACCCTGGGCCGCCACAGTGGAGTGCGCGCACTTAACTGGTTGTGCCACCAGGCCGGCCCCTCCAACTTCATTCTTTTTAAAGATTGTTTTGGCTATTCTGGGTCTCTTGCATTTTGTTACGAATATTAGGATCAGCTTGTTAATTTCTGCAAAAAACAAAGCAAACTGGAATTTTGGTAGGCGTTGCTTGAATCTGTAGATCAGTTTGGGGAGTATTGCCATATTAACAATATTACGTCTTCTGATCCAGGAACATGGAATGCATTTTCATTTACTTAGGTCTTCTTTTTTTCAAAAATACTTCATAGTTTTCAGTATACAACCGTTGCACTTCTTTTGTTAAATTCATTTCTAAGTATTTTATTCTTTTTGATGCTATTGTAAAATAAATTTCTTTCTTAATTTCCTTTTCAGATTGTTCATTGCTAGTTTACAGAAATACAACTGACTTCTGTATGTTGGTCTTGTATCCTGCAACCTTATTGAACTTGTTTTTTTAGTTCTAATAGATGTTTGTGGATTCTTTATGATTTTCTCTATATAGGATCATGTCATCTGAGAATAGAGATAGTTTTACTACTTCTTTTCCAATCTGGATGGCTTTTATTTCTTTTTCCCGCCTCATTTCCTTGGCCAGGACCTCCAGAACAATGTTGAATAGAAGTAAAGAGCATTCATCCTTGTCGTATTCCTGATCTTAGGAGGAAGCCTTTCAGTCTTTCCTCAATGAGTGTGACAATAGTTGTGGGTTTCTTGTGGATACCCTTTATCAGGTCATCTTCTAATCTTAGTTTGTTGAGTTTTGTTTTTTTTTTTTTTTTACCATTAAAAGGGTGTTAGATTTTGTTAAATGCTGTTTCTGAGTCTGCTGAGATAGCAGGTGGTTCTTGTCCTTTATTTTATTAATGTGGTGTACTATATTGATTGATTTTCATATCTTAAACCAACTTTTCATTCCTGGGATAAATTTCACTTGTTCAGAGTATATTCTCCTTTATTAGATCCTGCTATATTCAGTTTGCTAGTATTTTGTGGAGGATATTTGTGTCTATGATCATAAGGAATGTTGGTCTGTAGTTTTCATGTCTTATGATGTGTTTGTCTGGTTTTGGTAAGATGGTAATATGGCTTCATAGAATGAGTTAGGAAGTATTCCCTCCTCTTCTATTTTTTCGAAGAGTTTGTGAAGTATTAGTGTTAATTCTTATTTAAATATTCGGTAGAATTCACCATTGAAGTCATTTGGGCGTGAACTTTTCCTTGTGGGAAGTTTTTAAATTACTAACTCAACCTCTTCACTTGTTATCGTCTATTCAGATTTTGTTTTTCTTCTTGAATCAGTTCTAGTAGATTGTATCTTTCTTGAAATTTGTCCATTTCATCTAAGTTATCTAATTTTTTGGCATACTGTTGGGTTGAAATCTCAGGAACTTCCCAGGTGTAATCTGAAACTGGTCCCCCATACGTGGAGGGCAGGGAGAGACTGAAGAAAGAGGCAGACCAGTCCAGATTGGTAGGTGGCAGTTTTTATGAGGAAGGGAACTTACTTACAAGGCTTGTTGTGGGGAGCAGCAAGATGAGTAGATCTCTGCACCCGCCCTCCAGAATCTTAAAGTTGATATAGAGGCCTTAACTGGGTTCAGTCACATGTGCTGTCCAGATGGTCTCAACAACACCTTACTCTCTCAAGGCTGTGTCTTTGGGAAGCTTCTAGCATGGGAACAGCAAGTGCAGCGCACATTCCAAGGACAAGGGCGAGGGTGAGTTGCATCCAATGGCCCAGGTCCCACTCACCTGCCAACCAGTGATCATGTCCTCTCAGTTACCTCCTCCAACACATATAGGTGTTCATGATATTTCCTTAGAATCCTTTTGATTTCTGTAAGGTCAGTAGGAAGGTCCCCTTTTTCACTCATGATTTTAGTGATTTGAATCCTCTTTTTTTCTTGGTCAGTCTAGCTAAAAGTTTGTAAATTTTTAAAATCTTTTCAAAGAACCAACTATTGATTTTCTTTATTTCCTATTCTCCGTTTCATTTATTTCTGCTTTAATCTTCTTATTTTTATTTTATTTTATTTTTTATTTATTTTTTTCCCCCCAAAGCCCCAGTAGATAGTTGTATGTCATAGCTGCACATCCTTCTAGTTGCTGTATGTGGGACGCGGCCTCAGCATGGCCAGAGAAGCGGTGCGTCGGTGTGCGCCCGGGATCCAAACCGGGGCTGCCAGCAGCGGAGCGTGCCCACTTAACTGCTAAGCCACAGGACCGTCCCTGCTTTAATCTTTATTATTTCCTCCTTTCTGTTTGTTTCGAGTTTAATTTGCTCTTCTTTTTCTGATGTCTTCATTTGAAAGTTAAAGTTATTGATTTTAGATCTTTTTTTCTTTTTAAATATGGGAGT